TCCTCCTCTTCCTCTCCTCTCGTTCTTCTTCTTCTTCTACCTTCGCTTGCTATCCTCACGCTTCCATCGTTTTGATTCTCTCGTTTACACCGTCCTCGTCCTCACCATTCTCCTCGATATCAGCTGTCTAACACACTCGCTCTTCTCACGAAGTTACGCTCGCTAACCCGGTTGTCCTCGTCGTGTTGTTTTTGTCCCTTGTTTTCCGTGCCTTGCTACCAGCTATCTATCTACCTACCCATCCCTCCACCCGAAATCCGACATTACGGAAAAAAAAAAAAAGAAAAGAGAGAGAGAGAGAGAGAGAGACCGTTGCTCCTCTATTAGCTTCCCTTAATCAGTCTCATCGCCGTCGCTATCATTGTTCTGGGTCGTTTCGTCATTTATCCATATAATCTATCGTTAATATCCGTCGCAACCGAGAGCCGCACCTCTTCTCCATTTGGTCGCCTCCAAACGCTCGGCCTGGGAGCTATATCTTTTTTTATATATAATTGAAAGCGGAGGAAGCCTCACTCACGCTATCCGGACCAGAAACGCCGAGCCTAAACTCATCGGGTATCGGCAACCAGGCAGATATAATCTAGGCCATACCTCTCTGCCTGGTGTATATCACCACCACCTCGACCATTCTCATCACCAACAACACCAACATCACAGACATCGTCCTCCACCTTGCAGCTAGACGCAGGCTAGGATTCCAGCTGAATTCCGTAAAGGTATTCATATGAAGAGCAGGATCTTGACGGGCCAACCTCTTATCAAGGTATGTCGCTGTTACAGCTCACATATTTCCCTTTATATATAATCTCCTTTGTTTGACTCTTCCTGGTCTTACATTGTCATCTCTACATCATTTTACCGATGTCTTGATGATCCGAGACTAACTGAGTCAACAGGTATCCTGATTCTTCCGTGTGCAGCACTTGTCAATTTTATTGGAACGAACAGTGGCTTTCTAAGTCTCTTGCTTCTTTTCCTTTATTCTCTCGGTAGGTTTCTACTTGCTTGCTGCATCTACCCGATACCCTTATTTTTGCTTCTTCGTCATCTTCGCCTTGAAGATCATTTTCCATACTAACCATAAAACAGCTTAGTTATTGCTTGATTTTTTTCTTATTTTCACTTTTCTTTCACGGATCAACCCAAATTTCCTCAAGGACCCCGTTCGACAAACTCCTCAAAGGAACCCAAGATCAGACATCATCTGTTCGATCTCAACATTCGCCTTGTTCCGTGCAACCCTTCCCGTCTTAATTGACTGAACGAATTAGACCTACGAGCTTCAGTTCTAGTCTCAACATCTTCATTCGTTCACCTTTGATCCGAAGTAATCTTTTTTTCAATGATTTTTTAATTCTAAAAAATCACACCGTCACTCGTTTATAGTTCAAAGAACTACGTGCCTGACCAGATACGCAGTTCTTATTGATTTTGTGCCATTTGTTTTGAGATCTAGTCTCAGTCACTCGCTTTTAAACCAAACCGCGTTCCCGCTGCATACTCTGCAATACCGCCAATCTGGCTTACTCAAAGACTCACGGAGCTCCGGTATGTATCCCACCCCTGGCATCCCTCTTCTGGATATATCTGTGCATTTCCGGCCTGCTTGAGTCGTGTTTCTTCTCTTTCAATTGACTACCTCCTGGCCTCCCTGGTTTACACTTGCAGATTTCGGTTACCGGTCTGCCCGTGTTCCCCCTCTCATATTTACAGTTTGACTGACGTATATGCCCCTTCCTATTGTTACAGTTTGAGCTCCAGTCCCCTTTGATCTTCGACGAGTCTCTAGACTTCTCCGACCCAGAGGAGTCTCGATTCGTTGGGGCCTATTCGGACAATCTGCTGGCCAAACCTGGCAACCTCTTGTCCATGTCTGCTCTCGACAAGTCTCAGAAGATTGAGTTTTTAGGTGAGCCCCCTTCTCTCGTATCCATATTGTCTTCTCATAATGTTAATCATGTATAGACTCGGATGAAACTTCCAGTGCCTTGCGTGAAACATCTGCCTTACTCGCTTGCCCACCTGGATCCTACGGAACTTCCATGTACAACCCAATGTTGGATGGAAGCTTTATCTCGGACGACGACAGCGCTAACTACGTTCAGAACAGCGTGTATTCCGGGTCGCCGTTCGACATCCGTCGTTCGCCCAGCCTGGAATCTAACTGTAACCCAGTTCCTGAAGTGACTTCGTTCTCTCCTTCCACCGGATTCGAAGGCACCAAGCTCTCTATCTACGTTGAATCTTTCTACGACTTGCTCAACCCTCCCACTTGGAGTTTCTCTGTCCTTTTTGGATCCTGCCAGTGTGACTGCACCATCAGCCCCCTGCTAGTCGAGGAATCTAGATTCCAGTACGTGTTGACCGTCACCGCTCCCACATTCGTGTCCACGACTTGCGCTGGACTCTCTGTTCCTCTTCAAGTTGTTATCAACGATCAAGAGGCGTCGACTCAGCACTTTGCACGCATTGGATCGTTTACGTACGATCAAGAAGCAAGACAGATGTCTCCCCGCAAACGAAGAATGTCTTCAGCCTCCGATGGTAGCACTGCTGCCTCCACCCACTCTGCTTCTGCCAAGCAAATTCGAATCAATGATGGCGTTAAAGTTGAGCGCTTGTCAACATCTCCTTACTCGCCCTACCTTCCAACGCCTAGCTCGATGAGTGGCTACTCTGGGCAATACCAGCAGGTTCTTCCTCAGGGACAGTATGAACATCAAATTCAGATGAGAGCTACCGCTCCATCTCCCCTTGCGTCGTCTTGGAGCCCGTGTATCTCCAATGCTACCGCAGTATCATGCAGTCCTCCAATCTCCGTAACTCCCATTGGCCAGGAAATGGAGGTTAACCCTGGAAACCCAACCTTGGTCCGAACCTCAACCATTCAGCAGGCCCTTATTGGGGCTCCAAACCCCAATGCGCCATTCAACCCTTATGCAATGTACCCGAGCAAAGCCGTTCTGAAGCTCAACGGTGACCTTGATGCCATGGCCCTTGACTGGAAACCCGAAGAGTGCGAAGCCCAGCGCCGTCTGGTCCAATTCACTCGCCGCCAGGAAGGCAGTACCATCCATGCAGACTTTAAGCCAGTGTCGCCTTCTGAGCGTGCCCCCAACAGCATTTGCATCAGCTGTATCCAGTGGGCTGGCAAGAAGGAGTGCTATGTTACCAGTGTAGATACTATTTATCTGCTGGAGTCCCTCGTTGGTGTCCGTTTCACCGTGGAAGAAAAGAACCGTATTCGTCGCAACCTTGAAGGGTTCCGTCCAATGACTGTATCCAAGGCTAAGCCAGACAGCGAGGATTTCTTCAAGGTGATCATGGGCTTCCCAAACCCCAAGCCTCGCAACATTGAGAAGGATGTCAAGGTTTTCCCCTGGAAGATTCTTACTCATGCCCTCAAGAAAATTATCGGGAAGTATTCTGCCAGCTACTCTTCCACGGCAGCGGCGTTGCCAGCACCGCTTCGGTCAAACTATTCAGGTAGCCCTAACATGCCCAGCGCAAGTCATGTGGATGTTCGCTCTGGGTCCCCAGCCGGACATCAGCAGTCCGCCGGCGTTACCAACACGCTTCCATCTCACACTGCTCAACTTACCCCATCCAGCTACCTGTCCGTCATGGGTACCAATGCTGGATCTCACCCAAGCTTGACTGCTGCGTACAACTACTCCGGCCTACCTAGTCGACACATCCAGCCGTCTCCGGTCATTGTTCCCAGCCAGGCCTCATTCGACTTTAGTGCATATATTGGTCACAACCAGATGCCAGCGTACCAGAACTCTTAAATCCGGGAAATGAAACTCTCACCTCAGCAATTGAACCCGGTCAACTTTTATCCGTCGACTCCGCTTCTCCCCCTTTCCATTTCAGCTTACTCGTTTCTGTCTGCATAGCGAATTCTGCTTTGATTTCTCTCTTCCTATTACCGTTAATTCGCCTGTTTGCGTTCCCTGTTCAGCATTTCTCGAGAGTTTGGGTCCCGTCAGTCACTCCTTACATACCCCGATGCCATCAGTTATTGAGAGGTTGCCCTATTTTCTCTCTTTTCTCCGGCAACGGCAAAAGAGAGAGCGAAAGCAACTGTCTACGAATTTCCTTCCGTCACTCCTTTACGACCTTTATCAGAAACAAGCGTGGTGTTGGTTGCATATTGATCATCTTGATTGTTTTTCACCGGAAAAGAACAAGGACTCCGCTTATTAGCCTGAGTCCTCTAATACTTGTGCCACTACTACTTTCCTTACTGCGCCATGCGTCGGCGCCAAAAAAAATCCTCCTGGGTTATGCCTTTCCTTTACCCCTAATGACGCACTAATCCTAATACTGTCCTTCCCTCAAACCTCACCACAACCACCGCCATCGGTACAGCAATACCTCCTCGCTCCGCTCCGCTCCGCATTTCCCGGCCATCCTCACTCGTCTCACCATCTCTCCGACCTTCCTTGTTCAAATACCACTTGTACAGACGTGCTTGTTTCTGCCCAAGGCCGCATAACCACAGCACACAGCAGCATTTTTATCCGCATTTTTGCATGCATAAAAAAGACTTCGAGTTGGGCTGGTTTCACTCCTTTTAGCATTGATTGTTAATGCGCTTTTTTCTGCCTGCGTTGAATTGTTTTATTCCGCATGGGTTACACTCCTTTTCTATTGTTATAGGTTATAGACAGAGCATTTGCATCGGATATGGGTACGGGACTACAGAACTGCTTTCTGTGATTTTTGCCATTGTTTCCTCGTCTTCCTTCCTGTTATCTGTTCGTGATTTAAAAAAGGGAATTTGCGATTTGTTGTTTTTCTTGTCTTGATTTCTTGTTTTATCTGAGCTCGCTAGCAGAATTGTAATTTTGGATTTTTCTTGTTTGATCGTTTTAGTTTTAGCTATTTTGGACTCAACCTTGGGAAGTGAAAGGAATAAATATATCGGAGTCTATTTAAAATCTTCAACGTCCTGCTCGATTCAGCGCTGGTTTTGATATCAAACTCCACAACGTCCGCCTATTCTATAAATAAACGCAAGTTGGTCTGGTCTTTGCGTGGGGCGAAATCTTAATTCGGGCTTATCAGAAAATTGAGTCAGCGCAAAGACCAAAACTCCTCCCAGGCCACCATTCCCCCCTCGATTATTATTCCTCCCTCAAGACAAAGATCTCACGAATACGCAGCAGACACAGCCTATTGTTCCCTGCCCCTTGACCACTTGTCACTCGTATCAAAAGATCCCTGGGCAAGCGATTGCCCCACTGCAGCTCTCAACGCTGGTCTCGCCAGACCATACATATAGCTACCAGCATCTCCCTCAGCTGAGCCAAGCTGTCCCCAGGTATTTTCACCGGCAGTGACCTCGAACGACACAACATACACAACACCATTCACAATGGAGCAAATAAAGGAGACATTTCGGCGATGCAAGGAGGAGAAAAGATCTGCTCTCGTGGCGTACGTCACAGCGGGGTACCCCGAGGCCAGCGAGACAGTCGATATCATCCTTGCCATGGAAGATGGAGGTGCAGGTGGGTTCTTCCATGCTATCCACATGGTATTTTGATCGAACCCGGTGTCTAACTAGTGTTTGATGCAGACATTATCGAACTTGGAGTCCCATTCACAGACCCGATTGCCGATGGTCCTACCATCCAGCGCGCAAACACTCAGGCGCTTAAGAATGGAGTCACCGTCACTTCTGTGCTCGAGATGGTTAGAACTGCTAGGAGGAAGGGACTCAAGGCCCCTGTGATGATGATGGGATACTATAACCCCTTGCTACAGTATGGTGAAGAGAGAATGTTGAAGGATGCCAAAGCCGCAGGAGTCAACGGTTTTATCATGGTTGACTTGCCGCCAGAAGAAGCCGTTCGATTCAGAGATTTATGCAAAAAAGAAGGGTGAGTTGCTTTCCTCTGGTTCAATAATTGGTGATAGGTGCTGATGTGGCGTGCTTAAAAGGCTCTCTTATGTCCCGCTGATTGCGCCGGCTACTTCCGAGGCCCGTATGAAACTTCTCTGCGGAATTGCCGACTCCTTCATCTATGTCGTCTCTAGAATGGGCGTTACAGGTGCCACCGGAACATTGAGCTCTGGATTACCCGAACTTTTGAAGCGAGTGCACACATATTCCGGAAACGTCCCTGCTGCGCTGGGATTCGGCGTTAGCACCAGGGAGCACTTCCTAGAAGTCCAGGGTATCGCTGAGGGTGTTGTTATCGGTAGTCAGATGGTGACTGTCCTAGGCGACGCTGCTCCAGGAGAGCGTGCCCAGAAGATCCGCGAATACTGTTCGAGCATCACAGGTCGAACTGTCCAGCGCGGGCCTGTCCCCGAGGTAGCCGACGAGCCAGGCCTTGCAGACCAGCTCGAGGCTCTTAACACCACCAAGAACCCTGCAGCTATCCCTGCACAATTCGGCGAATTTGGAGGCCAGTTTGTTCCTGAGTCGTTGATGGATTGCCTCGCTGAGCTGGAGGCTGGATTCAACGAGGCCAAGAATGACCCCAAATTCTGGGAAGAGTACCGCTCTTACTACCCATACATGAGCCGTCCAAGTAGTCTTCATCTTGCCGAGCGCCTGACTGAACATGCTGGTGGAGCTAACATCTATCTCAAGCGAGAAGATCTTAACCACACAGGTAGTCACAAAATCAATAATGCCCTAGGCCAAGTCCTTCTTGCCCGTCGCCTTGGAAAGAAGAGAATCATTGCTGAAACTGGTGCCGGTCAGCATGGTGTCGCTACCGCCACTGTCTGCGCCAAATTCGGCATGGAGTGTGTCATTTACATGGGAGCAGAGGATGTTCGTCGCCAAGCTCTGAATGTATTCAGAATAAAACTCCTTGGAGCCTCCGTTATCCCCGTTGAGGCCGGGTCACGTACCCTCCGTGATGCGGTCAACGAAGCTTTGCGCGCTTGGGTCGTCCATCTCGACACAACGCACTATGTCATCGGCTCAGCCATCGGCGCTCATCCTTTCCCAACCATCGTCCGAACTTTCCAGTCAGTTATCGGAGAAGAAACCAAAGCCCAGATGAAAGAACTCACTGGCCGCCTGCCAGATGCTGTCGTTGCTTGTGTTGGCGGTGGAAGCAACGCAGTGGGCATGTTCTACCCCTTTTCCAATGATCCCAGCGTCAAACTCCTTGGCGTAGAAGCCGGCGGTGACGGAGTCGACACCGCGCGTCACTCAGCTACCCTTACAGGGGGCTCGAAGGGCGTGCTCCACGGCGTCCGAACATATGTCCTTCAAAACGAACACGGCCAGATCTCAGACACCCACTCCATTTCTGCCGGATTGGATTACCCCGGTGTTGGACCGGAGTTAAGTAACTGGAAGGATTCCGCCAGGGCCAAGTTCATCGCTGCCACTGACGCACAGGCTCTAATTGGATTCAAGACCATTTCGCAGCTGGAGGGTATCATTCCAGCCCTTGAGTCTTCGCATGCTGTTTACGGCGCAATTGAGCTGGCTAAGACAATGAAGAAGGGTGAGAACATCGTGCTCAATTTGAGTGGACGAGGCGACAAGGACGTGCAGAGTGTTGCTGATGCTCTTCCTGAACTTGGACCCAAAATTGGCTGGGATTTGAGATTCTAAAAGGCGGATAGACTAAGGACTTGGGATTTTATGATCGGTCGGTCAGATGATAGATGCCTTGACTTGGAATCACTTAGACAACAACTATTTTATATAAACTTGGAAAATAAAGCTTTCGGGGAAGTGAATTGGGTATATTAGATGATTTTCGTTTTCTATCAGAAGAGAAAAATGACAGTTAGTTGACAGACAAACAAAATTGAAATGATATAAGTTGTGCGCAGTGTGATTAATTGCGACTTGTTAGTTAATCCCGAACGCCAAATTCTTAGATATCCCATCCACACCAGAGCTCAGCTCAGGCTCCCATTTCCATTACCCAGACCCAACCACCCAATATCCATACACAGTGTATTACACCTTCGTCTCTTTTGGTTCGATAGGAGACGAATCGAGTTCGACAGGGGATGAAATTGGAGTCGAATCCAGTTCTCGAGCCCGGTTCACAGCAGCACTTTTATCAATCTTCGCTTCCTTGCTGTCCAGTTCATTGGCTTCCTTACTGTCTAGTTCACCTAAGACAACTGCTGCCTTTGGCCCACGAGGAGCAACACCCGCGGAATCCGGCATTTCTGAAATCCCGCTATCAGATGTATCCGGCTTTTCCCCTTGTGGCTCTGATGCCTTGCGACGCCTAAAGAAGTATGTGGCTCCAAGGAGGATCAGCAGCGCAAAGACAGCACATCCAGCTGCTACTCCACCGATTTGGGCGCCACTTAGACCTGTGTGGGCTGGCACTGGTACGCTTGAGGAGGTCGCGGAAGATGTGCTTGGTGAACTAGTCCGAGAGGTTGTAAAAGTTGAGGATGTCATAGACATTGATGAAGTACTAGGCATAGATGAAGTGGTGCTTGTACCATTATTCATATCGGCGAATTTGACACAGCAACTGATATCGTTTGGTCCTGGACATGGCCATGGCTAAGGACAAAGGTCAATTTATGATCCGCAAACAGCTCTTGGGCGTGCACCTACTTTACCAGTTCCAGAAAAAAACTTGCCATCCTCACACCCGTTGTTCCTCATACTTCTGCACACACCATGACCTTCACGTACATTGCAAATATGGACAAGACAGCACTAGGCAGTCATCTGGTTAGAGTTTAGTGAAGATACTGAGAGTCGAAAGGGTGAGCACCTCAATGTTATTTGTTCCGGGGTCACATATTCCAGCAGTAGACACACCCGGGCCTATCAGTCGTTGGATATTAGAACTGCATTTTCTGGACTTGTTTGTCGATGAAAGCACACGTACAATTTGCCTTCGGGGTACATTCCCCCACCCCTTCGTTGGTAGTGCATGTATTGTTGTTGTCTTGAGTTGACTGTCGCCATGCTAGGCGAGCGCGAGCCCCTGAGCTGAACAGCGGCATCCTGGCAGTTAATGCGAAGACTTCTTCAGCCTGAATATGGCTCTGCCCAGAGCCCGCGTTGGGCGTCGATTCTCCAGGTTATATATACTTTGGCAACAGAAGGGGGAGAAAAGAAGAAGACTCCAAGGTTGAACGACAGGAGTAGATCTCCTATCTTAAGTCTTCTCAATGACGAGGCAGCCATTCGTATTTATGATCACTGCGCTCCGCAACTGGCGGGCACCCTTTCCGTTTTGGTGTGTGGGCTGGCAATCAACAGGTTGTTTCACTGATGCAACATTGGCCCTGGGCCAATAAATCGAGCGTTCAGCCTGGCATGGAATCCAGTTGATTGGCGTTCGTATTTTAATCTTCGTTTTCCCGCCCTTTGGTGGTCGATCATCGGCTTGCTGAGCCTTGTTGCTGGAATACAACGCCAGAGCCGCAATCTAGCAGCCAAAAAGCCTTTCCAGCGGCCGCGCAGAACATCTCAGAGGAGCGACGGCTCCTCTCCGCCCTGACTTCAGCCCCATATTCCATCGCTTCGTCCTCATGTCTGCTGTTGACGCTGAAAGTTGACGTTGAAGTAAACAACAAGAAGCGCGGAAGCATATATATCACGTGATAATGACTAAGCAAAACAGAGTTCGGCCTGTGATTGGCGGGAAGGCGGGAGCTGGGAAACGTCCAAAGTTGACGTCGTTTCGACGATGTTGTTGGTGGTGGTAGAGACAACCCGCCTCGTCTCGACCGCTCGAAGCACACACACAACCTGCAACTTGGATATCATCTAGGGCCGTCTCGCTTTCTCACAGCCATGGCTCCAGGCATAGAAGACCGCCGGATGGCTTCCGTCCAGCCTCGGCTGAAGTACAACACCGTTGGTGGTGTCAACGGACCCCTGGTCATCCTCGACAACGTGAGCTCCCAGATACGCCCGCATCCCGATATGTTAGATGGCAGATATACTGATGATCCGGGCTGCAATACTCGTTATAGGTAAAATTCCCCAGATACAATGAGATTGTATCGCTTACGCTGCCCGACGGATCTGAACGGTCTGGTCAGGTGCTGGAAGCTAGAGGTAGGTGCAGCAGATCCTAAGGCGTCTATATAGCTAGAATGTATACTAACATGTTCGTCTACTACCAGGAAACAGAGCTGTCGTCCAGGTCAGCATATCGACTTCAGCCTTGATATATCACGGATGCTAATTTGATGTGGTTTTACAGGTGTTCGAGGGTACCACAGGCGTTGACGTCAAAAAGGTGTGGTGAACAGGCTTATATCGTGGCTCCTGTGCAGATCAAAGGTTGCTAACTTGATAAATAAAGACCAAAGTCGAGTTCTCCGGTCACAGCATGAAGCTAGGTGTCTCAGAAGACATGTTGGGCCGAGTGTTCGACGGATCCGGCCGCGCTATTGATAAGGGACCCAAGGTTCTCGCTGAGGAATACCTTGACATCAACGGCAGTCCTATCAATCCGTACTCACGAGTGAGTGTCTCCACGATTGTCTTTATGTGTCCACGGATCTTACGCTAAGCCGCTATTACTCTAGGTATATCCCGAAGAAATGATTTCCACCGGTATTTCTGCCATCGATACCATGAACTCTATCGCCCGTGGACAAAAAATCCCCATCTTTTCAGCTTCCGGTCTCCCTCACAATGAAATTGCTGCACAGATTTGTCGTCAGGCTGGCCTGGTAAAGAAGCCAACCAAGGATGTACACGATGGCCACGAGGACAACTTCTCCATCGTCTTCGCCGCTATGGGTGTGAACATGGAGACCAGTCGATTCTTCACCCGAGATTTCGAGGAAAACGGCAGTATGGAGCGTGTCACCCTCTTCCTTAACCTTGCCAATGACCCCACGTGAGTTTACTGTCCCTCCCAAGACTCCGGATGCTAGGGTGGAGCTAATGAAATGGATGCAGAATCGAGCGTATCATCACACCTCGTCTTGCACTTACCACCGCAGAGTACTACGCTTACCAGCTCGAGAAGCACGTCCTAGTTATCTTGACTGATCTGTCAGCCTACTGTGATGCCCTTCGTGAAGTTTCGGCAGCCAGAGAAGAAGTGCCCGGACGTCGTGGTTACCCCGGTTACATGTACACGGATTTGTCCACAATCTACGAGCGTGCTGGACGAGTTGAGGGACGAAATGGCTCTATCACCCAGATTCCAATTTTGACTATGCCTAACGATGGTATTTTTTATTATCCTATCTCTAGCTCGCTCCGTTCTTTCTGACTGAATATGGCGCTAACTTGGAACTTCAGATATCACTCACCCAATTCCTGATTTGACTGGCTATATCACCGAGGGTCAGATTTTCATTGACCGTCAGCTTGACAACAAGGGTATCTACCCACCAATTAACGTTCTTCCGTCCCTTTCTCGATTGATGAAGTCTGCCATTGGTGAGGGCCGAACCCGCAAAGACCATGGTGATGTGTCAAACCAGCTGTACGCCAAGTACGCCATTGGCCGTGATGCCGGTAAGCTCCCTTTCACAAATTGAAACTCTGAAGCTGCAGTATCTGACAATGAATGTATAGCCGCCATGAAGGCTGTCGTTGGCGAAGAAGCTCTGTCTTCTGAGGACAAACTATCCCTTGAATTCTTGGACAAGTTTGAGCGCACCTTTATTTCCCAATCTGCATATGAGTCCCGAACTATTGAAGAGTCTTTGGACCTTGCCTGGAACCTTCTCCGAATTTACCCCAAGGACCTCCTCAACCGTATCCCCAAGAAGGTTATTGACGAGTTCTACCAGCGTTCCAGCAAAGGTCGGGCCAGACCAACCAAGGATACCCGGGACACTGCTGAGCCCGCTGCTCGCGCCGATAACAACCTCATAGACGCGTGAAAAGCACAATCTTCATCTAGTTTGTGTATGAATCGAGAGGAAATGGGCTAGATTTTTTGTTACTAATTTATCATTTTTCTCGGTATTGTATCTAAGCATTCGATATTTATACGCTCACAGCAGTCATTCTCTATGGCAACAACGTTTCTTGGGATAATCAATTTCCTTCAATCATTACACCTGAGACGATCTATCGTCTCTTTGGCTAGATTAAAACTCATTAAGCGTGGCATATCTATGTCTTCCCCAGAATACCAATAATGTGCATGAACAGTATGTTAGGCCTTCAGCAAACTAGAAACTTAACATAGCAAGGAAGTCGTAGTGAGCCCTGCGAAAACGACTGTTATCAAGCCAAACAAGCCCAAGGAGCCAAATTGCTTCGTCCCCGCTGAACGTTTAACCGAACGTTGCCCTATCATTGACGGTGTGCTGGTAGCAACGTAAGCTTGGACCACACTCCTGGTCCAAGCTGCACCAACTTTCCCATCTTTACTAGCAGGGGATGGCATTTTCCAGTCGGATTCAGACTCATACCAGATTCCATTGACGATAACCCCATCCCCACGAGCCAGCTTTCCCGCCTGCTCTTGTGAACAGGTATCTTTCACCTTCCGAAGGTAACAAGTCGGTTTAGCCATCGGAGGGGCTGAATTGGTCGCTGTAGTATTTGCATCACCCTTAGTGTTAAATTTAGATATATCTACCTTCTGGCCAGTGGATAGGTCAACTGATCCCTGGACGATGCGCGAGAAGAGCGTGAAGAGTGTCTCCGGTTGGTAGGCAGATATCAAGTGACCGGCGTCATATATTCGGGTGAATGATAGATTGCCGAACTGGCGAGTCATACCTCCAACATAGGTATCATTGATGATGAGGGGCGCATAGCCAGCGGCGTTAAAGCCGCGGAGATACGAAGAAGACGAAGCTGCAATTGAAAATGCGGCTGCCTGGCCACCCATCCAGTTGCATATGTAATCCCTGTCCCCGTATATCAGAGCAATTCGTATTCCTTTATTCAGCAGCTTGGCTAGTTCTGAGATGTAATCTCCCCGGTCATAGTCAGCGGTACCGAGGAAGGCGGTTGAAACAGTTGAGCTATAGTCCGTAATATTCATCTGAGCTCCGATTGATTTCTGCACGTGTTCCTTGTTAAGGTATTCAAGGTATGTATGAGGCGGAAATGGATCAAGGCTGCTCTGTGAGATATCGTGGCTGCTACGCCCGAGTTTCGAGAATAAGTTGGGTGTTTCTGACAAACACGTAGAAAGCGCCTCTAGGCACTTTTGATTCACAGCCTCTACGGTGCCAGTGTTTTCAGGGTCGGAAGCTTTAATTTCTTCTCGACAACCAATAACTTTATCTCGGCAGCCGCCCGGCTTAGAAAAATTCGTCAAGAAGCCGTCCTTCTCTTCTTGTGTTATGGCGCTGATACCATAGCTATTGTTGTATGCAAAAATCGGAAAGTAGGGGTTTTGAACAAGGTCGTCAATACAGCCTTGCAATATTCCTATAGATCGAACGTTTATTTCAAGCGTATCCGTAGGAGATAACCTTCCTTCTTTCAGCTTTGCATTTTGATATTCGAAATAAGACACAAAGTTTGGGGCATATTTGCCTCCATAGCTCTCTGAAAATAGGTGAATATTCGCAGCGCGCCGAGACACAGAGGCGTATTGTGGAAACTCCGCTAGAATAGCTTGCAGAACATGCCAAAGCGCTTTTGCAGCAGTGGAAGTGGTGTTTGTGGTGACTTGCACGTTATTGGAAGAAGTTGTACCATTAAGCCAGGTAGTTTTAGACTGGTTCGCTGGTGGTTCAGATGGAGGAAACGTATATTTTGAATCAAGTAGATTTAAGGAACCTTCCCGCAACTGGTCAAATGAGAATCCTGACTGCACAGGTTGGTCAATGTAGAGCATGTTACTGCTCCTGTCCCAGCCCCATTCTCTTGCGCGCGTTCCAAGTCTATCCTTTGCGATCTCAATAACTTCGCATGGTCCGGTCTCTTGAAACACGCCAACAAGGCTGGTACTTCCAGGACCTCCATTCAAGTACACCGTAAATGGCGCGTTTTGAGGGTTGAGTCTCGATTCCACCAACCAGAAAAAGGTGTTGATGGAGTAGTTTTGCTGAATTGACCCTGTTGTAGATGGGGGGAGGCTGACGTAGCCAGTATATTGTCTCTGGTAGCCAAATGCTGTCTCACAAGTCCCTGAGACTGGAGTGGTGTAGTTTATTGACACCCCGTTGGAAATAGTGGCGGAAACCGTGGTTCTTGACGTCCCGCTTGAGAAGCTTGAGGATACCGATATTGCAGAGGATTTCAGGGCCCAATAAAATATCACTCCTAGAGCAAGATAGTGGTTTAGGTGTCCCTAGTCAATCAGTGTCAGGTATCCGTATTTTGTCGAGAATAAACAGTGAAAATTTCCTCACCATTTGCGCTGGAGCGACCAAAACAAATGACCTACCAAAGAATGCGGCGTTCAGGTTAATGCAGTCGAAGAGAATAAGATTTATTGTAGAGAAACAATGAGATTCTCATGTTTGATGGGCAGGAGGCGCAAACTCTGCAATATAGGCAGGCACATACAAAGCTGTACTCCCTACAATCAAACATGCCCCTCAGTAAGAGCAAACGGAGAGTACGAGTTGCCAACAACAAAGAAGCCGTTTGTAGGGGCTCCTCCGAAATAAAGTCACGAGAATGGAATTGAAATCTTTCATAGAAAATTCAGGGTATTAACAGCATGGTTCCTAGCCCCGTCAAGACTCTAGGAACTCCCTTCCGTTCTCTTCTAGGGTATCATTGATGATAGTTCCACATTTGCAGGGATGCTCTGCATAGCAAAAGCCACCTGAACGGAAGATCTTCCTATGATTCGCATCCGATAAGGCGTGTTGGTCGTTTGACAAACGAAGAAGACATGCAGCAATCCCATCTTGTCCAACATGTGGCGTTCTAGTCGGCCAATGCATCGTGCTAAGAAACAAAGAAATGCGCCGACCAGATTGTTAGTTTGTAGATTATCGAAACTGACAGGCTGATGGTTGATGTCGGTACTCTGTACTCTCCACCTTCTTCGCCCAGGATCCAGTAGGCCATTACCCCTGCGGTCCCAGGCAGAATCTGTCCGCCTCGAACAGATAATTCAGCATAGACCATTAAATCAGCGAGTCCACGGCTTTTATCACTGCCAGCGCTGGGATCACTTGCAGTTATGGAGCTTTCGATGTTGAAGGAGTTGAAGTTGAAGTTGAAATTAAAGCGACCCGTGACTTTTGGGCCAAGTTAGCTCGTTAGGGCTAAAATCCCAAACGGGTAATTGTAACAGCATCCTCAACATCTTCGCGTTTCTCACTCTGCTAATACTTGACATGAATGCATTTCCTGAGAGATGTTATCACAGATGAATGGTCACCGAATTTCCTAAGGCGTGCTGCGATGGGAGTTATTGGGATTGCTCAACCCCCACAGAGATCAGCAGAAGAACCATATGTTACAGGCATTGTAGCATGACCATTTGCTGACGAGGATCAGGATATCTGGGGAAAGGAAGAGCGGATCATCCTTTCTATGATTCTTTAGGTTGATACCAGTTCAGTTTTGCGTTTCTTCCGTGGCGGCTGGTTCCCCTGTGAGCTGTTTGGCTGGTATTCCGCAATTGCAAGTCGGACCATCTTGAATCCCTACAATAACTGTCAGTTAAAATAAGTTTGGGTATCGTTGGAATGATAAGTCCCTCACATCGAAGCCTGCCTCTAGGCTAATGATACGCTTTGGCACCACGAGATATTGTGGCTCGAGTAGCTTGTGAGTCAGGCCAGCCGATTCCGAGCATCTGCCATCCTGGCTTATGGCTCTCAGCCCATGTATTCCTTTCTGTCCTACTGAGAGAGCAAAACCCTTTAGGCCCGTCGACTTCGCCGACCCGCCAACAATATCCAAATACTGCCTCTCCCCCCCTCTCGTGTATCCCAGACATATATCAGGGCCTCCCTTGGTGATGAAACGGAGTCCGCTAACAAAAGGAGCTTCGCCAGCCACTACAGTGGTGGCTATAATCTGGTGAATATCATCGGGGATAGCAGTTAGTTGAGTGTAAAATTCCTTGCACCCATCTTGGAAATCCCGGCTCTTCATATCTGGATAATCTGGACATTCACTTTCCATGGGGTGGATGACTCCGCGGCCCTCTGTCCATCTAAGCTGGTTCTTTTCGATATTCAAAGGACGCAGAGAGGTATCACCACTCCAACCTAAAGCTGCCAGTTCAGATATAGGTGACCGAATAAGTTTCCAGATACGCTTTCTATTTTTCAATCCTGGCTCGAAACGTGTCAGATCTCTGAATTTGAAGTATAACCATTTCCAGTCAAGCAAGCAGTTAGTCTTGTTAGCTTCGAACGCATAACCAAGCTCGAGATCTGGCTGGAATCGAGACCTCCAAAAGGACTGACCCAGGTTGGAAGGGATAATCCGGGCCAATCCTTTCGAGGCCTGGGACAATGCCAATGCATCAACTGTGGGTAGCTGAACAATTATGAGCTCTAGGAGTTCAAGGGTGAGACTGGTTAGGCAATTAGGCTCAGCATAGCCACTTATTGGAGCTGTGCTTCGTTCAACCATCCTTCGTTTCTTTCGCTTATCGTTGAGTCGTGCTCTCCGTACGAGTGCTTTTACGCGTTTGTCGTCCTTCAGCGCCTCCCACGGATCTCGGAGGAAGAATGGTTCGGAAATGTCAGGTTTGTAGAATATCCTCGAGCCTTCCACCTTTACAACCCTTTGCTCCCACGGATAGTGCTCCTTGACCCTGCAGGCTCCACCATATTCATGGCCCCAATCAAGGGTGCTCATACCACACCCCAGAATGGGACAGGACCAGAATAAGTCCATCAGGCGTGCTATGGGAACTTCGCCCGGGCTAAAGAACTGTTCGAGAAGGGAATAGCATGAGGCGTGGATAATAAAGCCAGAACGGCACCGCATTGGAACCCGGATGTGCATATTGAATACTACCTCATCCTCGGGATCAAGACTGGCATCTTCCAGGTCATCCTCTGGATCGTCCCATCGGTCGTCAAAATTGGGCGGCGCTCTATATATGAAGTGTGGAGCATTGTTTCTGCTTACTCCGGACACCTCTGGCTGCAGCCCTCGTGCTGGGTTGACGCACACTCCAGTGTTCAGTCAGTCATAGTGGAATTCCTCCATCTCGGGATTAGACATGTATTAACGCTTACATGCTCGATATTTGCTATCCCAATGTACTCTTTGCTTGAGAAGATTATAGTCGGGGAAAACATCTCTGCCGCACAGGACACACCCATGTAATATCATCTTGCTCTAGATCGTCTTTAGTTGAGTATTTACACACAGCGAGGACAATGGACTATTATGTGCATCAAAAAGTATTGAAGTTAGCATTATTTTCGCCCGCAAAGCTATAACTATTTACTCGCTGATAAGTGGCTACGTCATAGTATTGAAGACCGTTGAGATTTTTTGTAACAAAGTTATAACTATGGCAAAGCTAATAAAACAGGCTTAGCTGAGGTGATGCGAAGAGATGTATACGATTTCCGGGCTCGTAGACGAAATAGCACAGTTCATATCATTTGTAACATCCTTTAGCTCTTGGTTTTGAGCAGCAATCATTTGAATTATTTTTGAGATGGCATACGACCGAGTAGTAGGCACCTTAACTAGTTATCCAGCTATTAGTCCCATAACTAACTAGACGATATCCTTTCATTCAATCATCCGACACCCTAGGGGGCATTCTACCCAGAAATTTCAAATGAATCGGGGAAATTGTCAAAGTCTGCCACTACACTAAAAGGAGTGAGCCCACACAAGTAGTAGGCAGAGCTGAAGTTTTTTCGACAGTAATCTATGTTAGAGGGATCAGTGACAATTTTTGCCTGGATATCGATTCGAATTCCTGCTCTAAAGCTCTAAAAGGTCGCTGTATCAGCCCTCTAGCAGCGGCAGACAACAACTTGAGCTTTTCAATCCTCCGAATTTTCGACGTGATAGATCTTTGTCTTTTCTTCCGAAGGTAATCTCACCCACCACTTTGCTCTCTATCTCAGAAGTCTCAAAAAAGTTCGTGTATTGCTCTGGCTACTTCCTCCAGAGTAGTAGAGTAGCCAACCGGGACGGTCCAAAGAGTTGGGCCCTTCCCACCACTGGTGTCTCCAAAGTTGTAGATCAGTTTTTTAACTGACTTTACCTCGAAAGTGAACTCGACCTTTTCCAGCTTTCGTAGGGCTCTCTCCCCGATCTTGGTACCGAATACAACAGCTAGGTAGGAATTGCTCGAGCGGATCATTCACTGGGGCCGTAGCTTGTCAGAATCTAGGATTTGGAGTAGAGATTTCTGCAACACGCCCAATGCTTGCTTGAAGTAATGGCTCTTTTTGATCTTGATCATGGAAGTGGAAGATTACTTCGCTGCCAAATTGTCCCGGCAGCCGTGCACACTCTGTGAAAGGTCTGAGGCCTGTTGCCCCCTGGCAAGCTGTACAGGCACGCATCTCAGGTCTTCCTCGTGACTGGACCAACAGGCCGTTGATATACGAGGGCCGGTGAAGATGTATTTGATGAAGTCCCATGCTGCCAGGAACATAGCGGACATCCGGCCCTGGAAGGGCCAACACCTCCCGGCCCAACGTATTATGTACAAAGAAGGCCAGTTGCTGGCCACCGACCCTGAGAATACCTGGGGTTACCGTCATCCGGGCGATTTGAGGGTCATAGCAGACCAACGGCCTATGTCCAGACCATATATCAGTATCTCCCATGCGTTTACAGCGGCTGGAAGAAAACCTATTATTCACTACCTGTTAGTAGGTTCGATAAGGCTTGGACAGCGGTGGTCAACGCGGCGAGATCTTGGTTACCCCCATGGGAGGGCAGAGCAGGGGTAGTGGTGGTTACAGCAGCAGAGGCAGGAGCACCGATGGGAGGAGGAGCCTTTCACCCCAGGGGCAACATGGTCTCCGGGGGTCGATTCGAAGGAAAAACCACAGGTCTAGGGACCGGGGAAGCAGAGGCAGCAAGATCCTTGAAACCTTTCTCAATCGCGGTAACAACGGACTTGAAACCAGGGGTCTCGCGATGGTAAACGACGGCAAACCCAGGATAGAGACCAAGCAGCGCAGCAAACGAGCAGAGATGCGAAGCACTGGCAAGATAACTGTGCAGAAGGGCAGGATGGGTTGAAAAGCTTTTCTCCCACCATCTTCCTTCCTTCCTTCTCACAACCTCTCATTTCTCACTCCCTTCCACCCATCCTATTCTCAAATATATGCTGCAATGATCAGGGGTGAGTGATAGTGGAATATAGACACCAGTATGTGTTTTTCGTAGCCAGGGAACCTCCTTCGCTTGCTGGAGTCTTCTCTATATGTGCTCGGATATTCTCACTGCTTTGCTTGCCCGACTCTCCTATTTGGGCTTGGTGATTTTCCCTGCCGGTTATTCCGTCACGGATGTGATGGATTCTGAGACCAGGAATGTCGTCTAGTTGCTGTTGCTATGGTATAAGCTTGGGTTGCTGTTTGGTGTTCCACCGTAAGGGTTTTGATCGGATCGGTAGTCACCTTCCAGTAGACCTGGATGTCTAGTATTTAAGGATTTGATTCGAGCTCGTACGAGAATATTATATCCCTTGTTTTTATGGAAGACTGGAGCAAGGATATGAAGTCGTAGTATCAGCTGCTTCCTTTCCAGGTCCAATATCTTCGAGTACCTTGAGATCTTCCCCTTTGATCCCCCGGCTAATTATGGTATCCGGCGGTGGTTTTGCCTCTCGATAGCTTATATAGCGCTATTAGGAGAGCGTAGCTTGTCATCCTTCCTGGAATTTGCACACCTTGTCGACCCTTTTTGGTTCAAGATGCGGCAAGTAGTTGAATGCATAAGCTGTTCGGGAGTATAGGGAGAGAAGGCAATGTTGCGTTGATTGCCCAAGTATTCATGGCTCCCGGATTGCCGCTGTGCCACATAACGACTTATCAGTATGTCTTGATGTATATTATTGAATACATGAAACATACCTAATTAGGAGTATTCCGAACTTCATAGACTAATCCAAGCATGGAGAACGAAAGGAATTAGACCGGGTTCTCCTCCAACCGGCAGCGTTCGCCGGCCTCCTGACGAGCTCGGCGGGCTGCCGCATGAGCATGAGCGACCGCTCAGCGTGCCGGGGAGCCATCAGCTGTCGGTGCAGCTGCAGAAGCTCCTGGCGGCGCGAGCGAGCCAGTGCACCAACCAGTTCGGGCTTCGAAGGCCCAAACCTCCACCCCTAACAGGCGGAGCTGGCGTAACTCGGGGGAGTCAGGCTCCTAATAACTACACCGTTAGTTGACTCACAACCAATAAAAATTTCAAACTTGATCGAGAGATGAAACCTTTGATCCAATCATGATTTGCTCTCGAATAACATCTTCCCAATTAAACGTGCGTAATTCCTTGGAGGCAGCCTTCGGATACTCAGGGGTTAGCCCTTAGCTCAAGGAACGGCTAAACGAGTACTTACTTGCTCACAGAGCTTTCGTGGGCCAGCGCACCGTTGTCACAGAGTCCTGATTGTTACAGGCAAGTCTTTTATCCAAAGATACCCTTCTATGACGAGATCTTGACAAGACAGACATCACATGTAGTTGCTGCCTGCTAGCTAAAGAGCTCTCTGCAAGGCTCTTGGGAGATATAACTACTCCAGCAGTCTGCAGAGCATAAGCAGAAGACGTCAGTGTACTTATCTCCCAGTACATACGATAGGAAGATTGGGTATTTTGGTCATTTCCTAGGTAGAAGTGGGAATGAATTTTGTAGGAAAGGAAAGGATTTCAGCGAGAGGGAGACGGATATATATGCTGTTTGGGGGGCTAGAGTGAAGAGCTGAGTCTTCACTGGGTATCAATGGGGTGGTTGGGAATATTCATCTCCAGCATTCACTATTATCCGCATCTCTAGGTCAGTGAAAGAACCACACTTATGGACAAGCGGTGCGGACAAATACATACGTATCAAAGGAGGATAGCTGAAAGGCTTGAAGGGCTCTCCCGGTTAAAGACTGCGAATATCAACGCTTTATTGAATGAACCTAGCCTAACAAACTCCTATTCCATGACAAAAAACACTGAAAACCTGCAGATGAGACAAGAATCAAAAACTCCAGCCCGTATCACAATCACATATCCGTCCCGTCCATCAGCCCATCCGTCCATCCGTCCATCCATCCATGCCGTTTCGCTGATATGGAATCTGTAGGGTAAAGTAGGTTATGCATTCTCAACGCCATCAAGAGTAAAACCACTCCAGAACATGACATGGCAGGCATAACAACGAGTAGTAGCAGCAGTACGCAGGGGAGTGGGAATTTCAAATAACTAGTTAATAACAGAGCAACAAAAGGCAAAGTGTAGACCGCTTGCTTAGCATTCAAGGTTCAAGTTCGAGTTAGGGTTCAGGGTTGGTGTAGTAAGTTGTATCTTTTCTTCTTTTGTGTTTTGGTAGAGTAAGACCATGCAATGCAATGCAGGTACAAGGCTTGTGGGAGGGGAATCAATCCTGAGAGATGAAAAAGGGCAATTATGTGATGACTAAAAAAGAAAAGTTGAAATCATGCAGTGCAATGCTAGAGGACGTAAAAAATGTAGAAAAAATAAAGCAAACAGTAACAGTCGTGTCGTGAGAGGAGAAGGAGAGGAAGAGCAAGGAAGAGGGAGGTCGTCGATTGTATGGCGTTAATCGATTTTAGCATTCGCAAGTTTCATGTTGGATCCTAGACCTGCGAGGTTGTTCGAGAAACGAAGAGGGTTGTTCTTGAACTTGGTGTGTTTCTTCAGCTTCTTGCGAGCAACCATCACCGGAGCAGAGGACTTGGTGACGAGATAGTTCGAGAACGAGCCCAGAAGAACACTAGCAATATGTTAAGACGTTAGTGAGGCTGTGCGGAAGTATATACGGGGAAAGAAGGTTAGACGAACCCCTTAAGCGCGCTTCGGCCTCTGGAGCCAAGAATGACAAGAGTCGGCTCGAGAGCATCGATCTAGAGGGGGTTTATTGGTTAGTGCGAGGTCTTCTTATGTGTGAGTGTATTATGCGTGGAGTACAAAACTTACCGCCTCTGTGATGAGATGCTTGGGGCTCTTGCAGTGTATCACCTCGACCGCCACACGAACCTGCAGCTTCGTCTTGCGCATGAGACGCACGCATGTTTGTGTGAGGCCGTCAATGGCATGGGCCCGGTCTGCCTCCGCCTTGGATAAGGCTCTAGAATCCACTGAGCCGG